ACAAATCGGGACACAACCCATGATCCACTTACACCATCTAGCCCCTAACCCGAATTTAGTTAAAACTTTCCTCAAGAAMTCCCAGTCCACCAAGTCATAAGCCTTTTCCAAGTCCAGCTTACAGACCATTCCCTTCTTCTTATCCCTCTTAAAGTTCTCCACACTCTCATTAGCAATTAAAATCTGATCTGTAATTTGTCTTCCACTCACAAAAGCTCATTGATAGTGTGAAATGATGTCTAGCAATACCTCTTCAACCTCAAAGACAACACTTTTGCAATGATTTTATACTAGCTGTTAACCAAGCTTGTTGGCCTAAAATCCTTCGGGTGGGATGCATCTTTCTTTTTTGGAATTAAGGCTATAAATGTAGAGTTYACACCCAGATTGACAATTCCTCTCTTGAAAAACTCCTCAAACACCCGCAAGAGATCATCTTTCAAGATATACCAACAATCCTGATTAAAAGCCATTGTGAACCCATCCGGCCCTGGAGCTTTTGTTCTATCCATAGAAAACACAGCCTCCTTGATCTCGTCTAGATTAAAACTTCTTTCCAACCTTCTCCTGTTCTCCACCCCTACATCTGGCTAGTCCAGACCTTCTACCCACACCCTTCTACTCACAGGCCTTCTTTGAATAGATTTGAAGTGCTCCACACAAGCCCTGACAATCTCCTCTTGCTGTACTAACTCAACTCCATCTACTACCAATTTAGAAATAAAGTTCTTCTCCTGCCATCTACTAGAGAGTGGAAATACCTAGTGTTTCTGTCTCCCTCTTGCAACCATTTACACTGAGATTTTTGCCTCCAGCTAATTTCCTCATTGTGCAGGCAGTCCTCTAACTATTTTCTCAATTCTCTCCTGAGATCATTGTCTTCCTCTCCAAATTCTCTCCTTTCCTCTTTAGAGTCAAGGCTTTCAATCTTATACATCAAGTCTCCCTTTCTTTCTTCTAACCTCCCGAACTCCATAAAATTCCACTCCTTGATTATTGCTTTCAAGAATTGTAGTTTCTTATGGAATCTCATCCCCTCCCACTCCACCAGCAGGTTACACTCATGCCACCTCTCCCTCACTTTGTTAGGAAACCCTGGATGAAGTAACCACATATTTTCAAATCTAAAGGGGGTAGGACCTCCACACCTTCTTTCCTCCTTACATAACACTATGGGCTAGTGATCCGAGATCACCCTTGGGAGAGCTCTAGAAGCCAAGGGTCTCCAATGTTCTTCCCAATCCAAAGAGAACAGGAATCTACCCAGCTTAGAGCACATGGGTCTAGATTGGAGATTTGACCATGTAAAAGCCTTATGTGCTAGGGGAATCTCTTTAAGCTCAAATGCATCAACAAAACTATTAAACTTCCTCATGCTTTTTGTCACCCTCTAGTTAACCTTATTGGACTCCTCCGAGAATGTAATCACATTGAAATCCCCACCCATGCACCAAGGCCCATCCCACAACCCTCTAACATCAGCCAGTTCCTCCCATAGCTCCTTTTTCTCTCTGTAGTCATTCGGTCCGTAAACATTTGTGAGCACCCACATATAATCATCCTCTTGCTGCTTAAACTTCATGGAAACTGAGTACTTTCCGATCAACTCCTCCAGACCTTCAACCACATCCCTCTTCCACATTGTTACAATCCCCCCGAAAGCACTCCACGATGGAGCCGCCACCCAACTAATCCCCCTGGCTTTCCATACACTCCTTGCCCACTTGTCATTAAACTCCATTCTCTTAGACTCTTGCAACAGCACAATGTYTRGGTCATACCRTCTTMTTACCTCYTTYATTGTTGCTCTCTTCTTTGCACTCCCAATTCCCCTCACATTCCAACTAAGAATCTTCATTCTGCTTCTTTTTTAAAACCCCTTGCCACCTACCCACTACTTTCCCCCTTTCCTTCTATCTCCTTTTACCCCGAGCTTCTTGTCTCCTTCTATATCTCTCTTTAATCTCTCTATGTTTATAGTTGCCTAATTGTCACAATAATATCTCATAGGACTTTTTGTTGGAATTCCCATTTTTGTTAACAAGATCTTCAATCATAGCAAATCTAGAATCCCATGAGTCATTGCCATGTATTCTGCCTTTGCACTAGAGTGAGCAACAATAGATTACTTCTTGCTCCTCCGAGATATCACATTGCCCCCAACTAACAGCCTACCAATCTTTGATAGACCTCTCTATGTAGAAGAACATCTCCATCTGTGGCATTCAACTTGTGGTTAGGGTTAATTGGGGTTCCAACTAGTTTTCACCCTAATTTTCCAACATCTTATAGCAAGTTAACAACATATTTTCTTTGAGAAATGAAAATACCCTTCATTAATCTTGTTACCTCAATTCTTAAAAAGTATTTAAGATCACCAAGGTCCTTAATTTCAAATTCAAAGGCAAGAAAAGATTTCAACTGAGAGATTCCAAAGATGACATATCCAATCAAAACAATATCATTTACATATACTATCAGCATAGTCACCCGATTATCATGCCTTCATATGAACAAAGTATGGTTAGCCTAAGATTGAGATAACCCAACTGTCAGGATTGTTTTTCTGAATCCATCTACCCAAGCTCTAGGAGATTGTTTGAGTCCATACAGGGTTTTTTTTAAGCAACAAATCTTTCCCTCACTATTAGGAAGGCTCATTCCTGGTGGTAGGTCCATATAAACTTCCTCCCGTAGATCTCTATTAATAAAGACATTTTTCACATCTATTTGATATAAAGGCCAAGAGAAGTGTGCTGCAAGAGACAAAATCACGTGAATATAACTCATTGAGCAAACATTTCCTGATAATCAATGCCATAAGTCTGAGTATACCCTTTAGCTACCAAGCGTGCCTTATACACCCAGTTACGTCCAACTATAGATTTATCCTTAAGAAGAGATACAAGCTTCCAACTTGCTATTCATTATTGATGACCTCTATATCAAATGGATGTAGAGAAAATATTTCTAATGGGGACCTCCACATGGAAGTATAAATAGAGTTACCTTCAGGTGTTGATATTCCAAACAGTAATGAGAAAGTGTGCAAATTGAAAAAGTTGTTTTATGGTTTTAAATAATTCCCTAGAGTTAGTTTTATAGGCTTAAAGGATCTATTATGAAGATTGGCTCGAACAATCTCAAATTGATCACACTTACTTCGTTAAGAGGATAGAAGATTCTGTAATTATGTTGATTGTGTATGTTGGTAATATTATTATCATAAGGAGTGACTCTAAATTAATTACCAACTTAAAGCCAACAACCTATTGAATAAATGAGCATGGTCAAAATTTGAATGTTGAGATGCATGAATGGAAAAATAAGTTAGACCAAGATTAGAAATTTACTCATTGGAATGAACCTAGGAGTAGCTCTTATAGGTAATAAAATGACAAAAAGTTTACTAAAAGATAGTTTGGTCATGTATAGAGAATACCATCTACAACACCTATATGTAAAATGATCTATTACAAGTTAAAGGGATTTGAAGATCTAGGAGTAGATAAAAAAGTTAAAAAAAACAAAACAAAACAAAACATGTTGAAGTAATAGGATTTATGTAGACGATCCCATAAAATTGGAACAAAGCTTAGAAGATTATGAAGATAATTTTATTATCCATATCTAGAAAAGAAAGCATCATTAACAAAAGAAAGGAAAGGCAAACTAGGTTATAATTTACAGCAAGTTAACTAAAGCCTCATAACATAGTAGTATTTGCATTTTATTAGGCTCAAGGGGCCAAGCCGGGTTTAACACCAATGATAAGGGCTTTAAGGTAGGCCTGGCCCTACACGGGCCCAAGTTGGGTTTACAGGATTTTTAGGCCTAATGAGTAATGACATGGGGATTTGACATCAAATAATAAAAATTTAATTATCTAAATGAAATAACGTATAATACATACAAAAATTTACATAATCCAAAGTTAAGTTGGGTTTGGCTAGGCTTTAGGCCAATGGCACAAAAAAATAAGGCATGGACCAGCCTCATTTAATTATTAAGCTTGATTTGGCTCGGCTTACCTAATAAAGGCAATGCTTTCATTCCCATTCTTCAACAATGTTAGATTTGAAACAACACGAAATAGTTATTGCAACCATTGAGTGTTTTCCCAAGTTCCACATTGCTTAGGGAATGAAAATGAAGACCTTGCCTTCATCCCATACAAGGCCTATGGACAATTTTCATACTGGAATTGACTTAAGTATTGACACATGCCAATTCATAAATATTTATTTATATGGTAAAATTAAAGTTAAAACTTTTAAATTTTATATAAAATAATAAACATTTAATATAAAATAAAATATACTTATGTATATATACTATATAAATTATAATACATATTATAATATATGAAAATATGTATATCATATATTATATTTAAAAGTATATATTATATTATATTGTGAACTGGGTTTGAAGTATTGGGCCCAAGCCCAGCCTAGAATTTTCTAGGCTTGATGTAGGCCCGGACTAGGCCTGCACACAAAAACCTAGGCCCAGGCTCATAAATTGGTGGGTTGGGTCGGGCCAGGCCAAGAATGATCATCCCTATACATACATGTACGTATATACATATATGCATACATACATATATATATACATGCATGATACATACATATATACATGTGTGTGTGTTTAATATTTGTTTTAACTGTATTGGTCACATTAGATAATAATTAATTATGTCCGGTGCATACCTAATTAACCAGAATTTGCATTCTTTTCCTTTGCACTCTCATGCATTTGTACTAGTGCAAATAAAATTGCACTGCAACCAAACAAAGCCTTAATATTCAAGAATGCTATTAATTTTGATTTGTACTTCAAGTTCATATTTTCCATGCTAAATCATGCTAAATTCTTTTTTACCTTTCAGTAACCATGCATGAATAGCTTTATCCCAATACTAAATTACAATAGCAACAAAATCAAAATTGTTCAACAATGGAAAAAGAGAAAAATTAAAGAAATACTGAAGTTCATACCGTGTGCTTTGTTAATACTTGGAAGGCATCCTCGTGATACCACAATCTACTACGTTCTTCAGGCTCCTTTGGTGCTTCTTCACGAACAATTTCCCTCCCCATGTCTCGAACTAGATCATGCATTCTCAGTTCATTTTTTTCATCAATTATTAGGAGAGACCTACGGGCCAGAACACTAATTCCAATCTCTGAGAAGAATCCACAACTGTCAAGTACTGTAACTACATCTTCTTTCTCAATTCTAATAAAGAAACAAGCAATATCAAGAAATATGTCCTTCTCATTTTCATCTAATGCATCAAAGCTTAGTCTAAGTTGCTTCTGAATGTCTTTATTAGGTATTCTCTTTAACTTCTCCAATGCACTTCTCCACTCAGGTATGCTTCTATATTCACCCAAGAAAGAGCCTAAAACCTGAAGAGCTAATGGAAGGCCCCCAAGGCAAGACACTATGTTTCTGGCGAGCTCCTCATATTCACTTATAGGGTGATCTTTTCTAAAGGTATGCCAGCTAAAAAGTTCAAGAGATTCCTCCTTGTCCAACTTTCTAACCTTATATACAGTGTCCACTCGAAGCTCATTTAATAAATGCTCGTCTCTAGTTGTTATAATGACTCTACTTCCCATACCAAACCAATCGCGTGCTCTTGCTAGTGCATCCAATTGGTTTAATTGATCCACATTATCAAGAACAACGAGAACCCTTTTACAGCTGAGCTTTTCTTTGATCAAATTGACTCCTCTATCGAGAGTACTTATCCTTATATTTTCCTTTGAAACCATTAGGATATCAGAAAGAAGTTGCTCCTGCAGTCGAACTAAACCGTTGGGCTCTTCTGAAATGTCTCTGATATCATGAAGGAAACTGCAACCTTCAAACCTGTGAAAGATTAGGCTGTAGATGGCTTTTGCTATTGTTGTCTTACCTATTCCACCCATACCCCAGATCCCCACAAAACGAACATCGTGTGATCCAACACTTAACAAAGAAGTCATTTTTTCTACACGGGAATCCAATCCAACTAAGTGGGTGGCAACCTTCATTTGCATTTGAATCAGTTTAGTGAAAACCTCTTCAACAATTTTATGGACAAACTTGGCTTCGTGCCTGCCAATTGTGATCCAAATAATAGAGTAAAAATATTGATAATGCAAAAAAAATCAAGTAAATATATCAGTCAAGAAGCAGAACCAAGAAGTGAATTTCTTGCTGATAGCTAGATTCTGGACATTGCTAATTATGTGCATGCATGAGCAACCAAGGCAACCAAGGCCATCTATATCTATAACATTTTCAAAAATGCAGTCCATATCAGCTTAATCTCTTTTGCTTTCAAAAACGCAGTTGTCCATATCAACATAATCTCTTTTGCTTTCAAACTCCTTAGAATTTTGTGGTTTTTATTAAAAGATGAAAGAAAAATCAATTAGGGGCTCCTTACAACGGAGTCAATTTTCTTTTATTATGAAATTGAATGTAATGATTCCCCATTAATAGGGGCATCTCTTAACACTACTCTGAATCTTAACGCTGTATTTGGTTGCATTGCAAATTTATTTGCACTAGTACAAATGCATGGGAGTGCAAACGGTTTGAGTGTAAATTCTTACCTATTTTTGTTTCAAATTTTAGTTTATTTTGTTTGTTGCAATTCAAATGAAGTAAATTAAGGCATGAAGCAGAATAAAGTAAAATTCCAAAATAAAATTAAACAAGAATTTGCTTTTTTTTATATTTGCACTTCTTAGTATATCTCTCTTGAAACTCCTCCTAATCTATTTCACGATTCTAAATAATACTCTCCAGAATTTTCTCCTAAGGCTGCGTTTGGTTGTAAAGCAAACAAATTTGTACTGATGCAAAACTATGACAATGCAATTTCTGACCTTTTTTCTTTTAAATTTTAGCTTATTTTATTTGATTGCAATGCAAATAAAGTAAATTAAGACATAAAGCAGAATAAATAAAACCCAAAACAAAGTTGTACCAAATTTTACATTATTTCATTTGTACTCTCAGCATTTGTACTAGTGCAAAATAAAATTGCACTGCAACCAAACGCGGCCTAAAACTCATTATATCTCTCGCATGTGTTTATTTCTCCATTAGGGGAACGACATTGGAGCACCTTAGCAAGAACTCAAGCCCTATGTGATTTGTTGTGTATGAGATTTTCACAGGATCGGTGCTCTACAGTCTACACGGGCTGCGTGATACACAATGCCCGTTTCTTTCAACTTTGACCCACATTGCACACAGGTACCATGATTTATGTTGCTTTTTTGTCAAGCACTTAGATAGATTTGTATTATACGCAGGCCTATACAATCTGTACTGTACATGGTATTATGCATGCCTTTACTTGTTATTTACACAAATCCTAGAGTAAGGTTAGAATGTTAATCTAATTTAACTCTGTGTGCACATGTGTAAATAAAGGTCAAGTTAATATTATATAATATATCAAGTTTAACTTAATGACCTACACCAAAACTAAGATAAGTATCTAATTTATATAATATAGATATTAATTATTAATTACAATTAAAATTAATTGAAACTAAGAAAAACTAATGATAATCAATAAATTAATTAAATGAATAAAAAGATCAATAAAAATTGTTTTATTCATGGAAATTTATTAATTTTACATTTAATTTTTTAATTTAAATTTAACTTTAAAATAATACATAATTTCGTCACTCTCATGAAGAGTGCACTTCAATTGTATTTTGATCTCATAAACATATTCAAAAAATACTGTTAGGGTTAGACTTGGACTGGCTTTGCTTAATTAAGAATATCAAAGGGATCCTTTGTCCTTTTTCAGTAGAATTCTTTTCCTTCAATTTCGTTTAGCAAACTTGTGAACTGGAAGTCCCAACTAGAATATACTAAAACAAGGATGCCAATGTAAGCACTTAGCAACACTCTATTTCCTTCCCATTTCATTGTTCAAAAATTGAACACAATAATTCAAGTAGCTAATTACTTGTAAGACTTTTCCATAATCTCTCCTGATTAACTTGCTACTTACTCTCTCTCTCTCCTCTTTCTCATTAGCTACTCTCATTGTCTCTCCTCATTAAACACGCCATTAATCCTCTCTCCTTCAATAACTCATGCCATTAAGTATCTTTCCTCACAATCAACGTTTTTGAATCGCCATTGACCTAGACGGTTGGACCGTTCAGCTTGGAAACCGTCCAGACAATTGGTTCCGTTTTATCCAAAACCCGGAATCTACTCAAAAACTGTTGAAAAAGTCAACAAACCATTGACCCAGGTGGTCGAACCGTCGATCCATCAACCCATTCAATGATTTTTGACTGCTTTTTTATTTTTAATTATTTTTAAAATTTTTTATTTTGTTGTCAGAACGGACCGTCTGTTCGAACCGGATGATCGGACCATTGACCCCAAAACCGGTGCCCAGAACAGTTCCATTTCCAGGTCATTTTTTAAAACGTTGCTCACAACTGCTCCATTCCTATGACCACACCATTTGGGGTGATCATTTCTTAGCGTGGCCTAAAAATCCAGCCTGGCCCAACCAGCAAATTTCTGGGCCAAGGTCCATTATGTGTTAATGTCATATGATATAAAATATATTGTATATCCCATCAAGTTTAATCAGTGATTTAGGCACAAAGCCTGGCCTAGCCTGCCTGACCCTGGCTATGCTCGAGCTTACATTTCACGAACCCAACTTGTCCCATGATCACCCCATGCGTAATGGTGCAACTCAGGTTGGCAAGTTAGCATTTTATATTGCTTTAGGCTCAGGCCTTTGGTTCAGGTACATTCAAAGTTTGATAAAAGCCCAAACCAAGCCCACCCAAATTACTCTCCTACCCACACATCATGCTTCAACCACCTATTATATTTATCCAAGTCCTACATTTTACCTTAGATTTTTTTTCTATACATGCCAATCAACAAATATTAAACAATTAATAATTAAAATTTATAAATTTTAAGCATTAACAATAATTATATTGTCTTTCTAAGAGATCAAGCATAATACTTTAGATATATCTAGAAGGATCAATGTTCCACCGCTGGGTGATGAGAATAACCAAAATTTGTATTAATTTTTAGTATTCTAAATTGAACTGAAATTAATACAATTAATTATTTTTATTATTTTTAAAAGAAATTTTAATTGACTTTAATTATTTTTTAATAATTTTTGTTGATAAAAATTTACAATTAGTATTAGAAGTTTTATTCATGTAATTATTTGTAAGTAGAAAATAAGTGGATTTTAAGTGAGCAAATATTAAATTTAAAATCAATTAATTTCATTAATAAAACTAAGTTAGTACTTTTGTTCATTTTGATTAATTTATTAATTTTTATTATTTCTTTTTTAGTTTAATTACTTAGAATGGAATTTAAATGGGAATTTTGAATTATAATTTTTATTAGTGAAACAATTATTATTTATTATAAAATTTATAATTAATTATATTTAAAAGATTTTGTAATTACTATTAATTTTATTAGTTATTATAATTTTACAGTTATTATTATCTTTATTTATCTTTCTAGATATCAGTTTTTACTCTTCTTATTTTAATATTCTTAAATATTAATGTTTTATATTTTAATTTGTTTTTAATTATAATTTATTAATATCAAATTAAACTGAAATTCTAACTTAAATAATACAAGATTTGTATATAATTAGGTTGTCACCAAATGAAGCGTAGGCACTAAAAAGAATATGGATCTCATGTATAGTATTAGATTGTACAAAGCCTATGTACAATATAAACCTAACAAAATCCTTGACACTAGCACTATAAATCATATGGTACCTGCGTATATTATGGGTTGAAGTCAAGATAAACGTGCATCTTAGGTAAGATTGTTTAAGAGAGGTTTTATGAAAAGATATCTTAGTGAAGAAACTATTTCTTAGGGGTGCAAATTGGATCCGATCCTATTTGGTCAAATTCGGATCACCTCTGGTCAGATTTTTGGATCGGACTCAGATCCCCTCATCTGATCTGAGAAGATTAGATGGATCCGATGTGTTATATATTTATAAATATAAATATATAATACATTTATTTATTTATTATTTACATTGTATTTTTATAAATTTATTATATTATTTACTTTTATAAAAAAACATGTATGTATGATGAAAATAATTAAAAAATACTCGTATTTTTTGTTTTTTCTTTATTTAAATTAGTATATTTTATTTTTTCTTAATAATTTATTAATTAAAAAAACAAGTCAGATCAAATCAGATCCGAAGATTCGATAGGATTTGAATTCAGATAAAGTCCTATCAGATCTGATCGAATTGGATCTAGCATGAACAGTGTCAGATCGGATTCGAATATACCCTGATTCGAATCCGATCCAATCTGTTTGCATTCCAAATATTTCTTATGTTTGGTTCTTGAAAAAAATCTAAAAATTCTCATTTTAGACAAATGAATTAAATGATAGAGAGTATGTTTGTTTTTTTCTTTTTTGTAAATAGGTATAATCAAATTTAGGGTAAATTGTTGAAACTTGAAACCTCCCCTAATGTGTTCCACAATTGCTGAAACCTCTATGAAGTTTGGTAATTGCAAGCATCTCCCCTAAACTTTATGACACAATTGCAAGTAGACCTCCTTTGTTAAAATCCTTTAGCAAGAGGCACGAAAATGTCAAAATTTTGGTTGGATTGGGGAATTGGTCAATTGAAACAACCGACCATTAGCAAAAACCAGAGTTGTATTAGTTTGCAACAATTCTCAATTTGGTCAATCAGTTCAAAAGATTTAAATTTAAAAAATTGCAATAATATTTTAAAAAAATACATTGACAATGTAAAATATTTTAGGAGATATGGAAAATTTTCCACTTTCCTATATTAAAAAAATAAATTTAGAATATAAAATATTAATATGTATCAATTGGTTAACTTGAATTGATTTTGGTTAGTTTACACAGACAAACCAAAGCCAACCCAACCACTTATGTTAACATAATTGTTTAATTCAAACTAAATGAAAATATTAAAAGAAAACCAACTAACTCGGATCGAATTGGTTGGATTGGTTAATATGGTAAATTTCATCAATTATAAACAACTCTCTAGTTGCTAGTTATTATGCTTGTATTTATGTAACGAGTTAGGCAAGAAAAATATATTTACGAAGCAAGTTAAATTAATTGTTTGATTAAAAATATTTTGTGATTGTATACATTTGAGTGTCTTATCTGTTTATTAATCTACTCCATTTTATTATAGAAAATAACAAATTAAGCAATGAGAAGAAAAACTGAAATGTCACCTTACAAAATAACCCGTGGTTGGTGGTTCTATGTGACACCCAATAAAATAAGAAAACGCCAGTATTTTATCTGACACCCGTTGATGTGATGCACTGATCTTTTGTTTTTGTTTAGGGAGAATGACTAATCAGCCCATATCAGAATTTTATAGCCCCAAACGAATTGATGCCAAATTCATGTGCTTTATAGTGGAGAGAGGGGGGCAATGCAAACTGGTCATAGTATACGAAGGTGGAAGGCTAACAGAAGAAGACAGCCAAAGACTCCGACTTCAATAATTCAATGACAAAACGTGACAGGCACGGCTAAATTTAAAAGTGCTTATTTAAAAAATAAGTGTTTATGAGTATGTGGGGTGAAAAATACTTATTTTAAATAGGGTATAGTATAGGTATTTCAAAAATGATATAACCGATTAAAATAGGAGATAAAGAAAATAAATATATAAAAATAAGCTTAAAATTTGAGATTTTCAAATAGATAGTAAATATTTATTTTAGTCTTATTTTCCAAATGCAAATAATTACTTATTACTGTGGTCCGGTCCAAAATAAGTGATTATTGGAATAAACTCCCCCATTTTCACCTTTAAGACTGCAGAATTAAAAAAGGAAAGGATTTCAGTAAAGCTGAGAAGATTAGGTTACCCTTTAGCAAGATATCGGAGATCCCAACCGGACAAGTTGGCCGCTTCAGTGAGAGCCGATCTCCACCTCTTCACCTTCTCCATCATCTCTGTATTGAACTCAAAACGCTTTTCGTGGCTCGCAAATGCCTCGGCGAAGCTCCCAGTCTGTTTTCGAACATCCGACGGATCGATGTCATAGAAAACGGGCATGACAATTGTCCGGCCAATCTTTCTCTTCTTGCCGCGGCACTCGAGAATTTTGCAGAGTTCATCGAGACACCATCTGGAAGAAGCATAGTTCTTGGAGAAAATGATGATACAAATCCTTGACTCTTCGATTGCTTTCAGCAGCGCTGGGGAGATCTCCTCGCCTCTCTGGAGCTCTTTGTCGTCTCTGAATGTGTGAATGCCTTTCTTGACCAAAGCCGTGTAGAGATATTCGGTGAAGTTCTTACGCGTATCCTCACCTCTGAAACTCAAGAAGACATCATAATTCCATTCATCTGATGAAGAGGAAGTAGAAGAAGAAGAAGAAGAAGAAGAAGAGTCTTCTTCGGTCCCCATGGAAGTAGCGATCTCAAGGCAGCTGGTTAGGACTCAAGTCTATATAGTTGGCCGAGTGGCGTGGGGACGACGCAGGTGGCAGGATATCTGATGAAGAATAGCATAACATGGTTTATCAATGGCCGCGGAAAAACAGATCCTCCGAAATTCCTCCATAAAACAACAAATATTAAGTATGAAAAGGAAAGAGAAAAAAAAAAAGGAATTCATGCTTACTCGTAGGTTGAATCTGAAATCCATTAAACACAATATTAGCTCAGAACTGAAATCCATCGATAAATTGTTCTGGTCTCTGAGTGTAGAAGCATGTCTAACAAGGAAACACAAAATTATATAAATGACGATCGATCAGAGGCAATCACGGTGGTTATACCAGTTTGGGCTTGGTCTTGGAGCTAAAACAATACTAAAAACAAAAATACTAGAAACAACTAAAAAATGCCATGAGAACTTTTAGATCTGGTGTTAGCTTCACCATAAATGACGAGAAGAAGCTTGAATGTACTGACCTTTTGAGCTGCATATGGGTGGTAGTGGAAGTGGCGGAGAAGGCAACCCTCTCTTCACAAACAATTCAGTCAATTCTGATATTTTCTAAGGGCAACTTTACGGCCCTAATATCAATAAAAATAATACTTTTAAAAAAATAAAAAAATAATAATTTTTCAAAAATAATATCAATTAAGGTAGAATTTCTGTTCATCTTTTCCCTCTTACAATCTATTCACCGGTGCCGCCGCCTGCCGCCGTTCGCCGCCGCCTCTGGCGGAATCATCCTCTTTGGAGCCTTGCATTCTCTGTCTCTCTCTCTCTAATTTTTGGGGTCCTAATTAGCTAGCTTCAGAGTTGGACGAAGTGAAGATCTGGAAAGAAAATGCACGCAAGACAGATTCAAAGGTGACGAGTCTCGCCCCATCTTCTCCGACGAGATCCCCTCAGAGGCCCGTCTACTACGTGCAGAGCCCATCACGAGACTCCCACGATGGCGAGAAGACAACAACATATTTCCATTCGACGTCGGTACTCAGCCCCATGGGCTCACCCCCCCACTCCCACTCCTCCGTCGGTCGCCATTCTCGTGAGTCCTCCAGCAGCCAGTTCTCCGGATCCCTCAAGCCTGGTTCACGCAAGATCACGCCCAACGATAGATCTCGAGGGGGTCCCCACCGCAAGGGACAGAAGTCATGGAAGGAATGCTCCGTGATTGAAGAGGAGGGGCTTCTGGAAGATGAGACAGCCGAAAGGAGTCTACCTCGTCGCTGTTATTACCTCGCTTTCGTTCTTGGCTTCATCTTACTTTTCTCTCTCTTTTCCTTAATCTTGTGGGGAGCCAGTCAACCTCAGAAGCCTACAATCACCATGAAGGTATAATTGAATTTTTGTTTGTTACTCAAAAACCCATCCTTCCCTTTTCTCTTCTCTGAAATGAATTTTTAATTTGCAGAGCATTACATTTGAGCAAATCATGATTCAATCAGGTACTGATGCTACCGGAGTGGCGACTGACATAGTCTCCCTCAATTCCACTGTAAAGCTAGTTTTTCGTAACACTGCTACGTTTTTCGGAGTACATGTAACGTCAACATCTGTTGATCTCTCCTAGTCTCAACTAAGTGTGGCCAGTGGCACCGTAAGCAACAAAACCCATCTCATGTTATGTTTCTCTGAGAAAATAAAGATGATTCAATCAAACTCCTTCTCTGTGGTGGTTTTAACCTTTTATTTCCTTCCCTCCTTGGGATGACATTGCAGATAAAGAAGTTCTATCAGTCGAGGAAGAGCCAAAGAACGATGACGGTAGTAATGATGGGGAATAAAATCCTTCTAGGAAGTGGGGAGGGTTTGAGCAGTTCAACAGGCACCTTAACGGTGCCGGTGCCTCTGAAACTGAGTTTCATGGTTCGATCGAGGGCATACGTCCTGGGAAAACTGGTCAAACCAAAAGACGATTGAGTGCTCCATGGTTCATGATCCTAAGAAACTCAACGTCCCCATTTCTCTGAAGAATTCATGCTAAGTAAAATCAGATTCATGGTCGGACGCCGCGGCGAACAGCGGCGGGCGGCAGCAATGGTGAATAGATTGAAGAGGGAAAATATGAAAGTAATTCTATCTTAATTGATATTATTTTAAAAAAGTTAACTTTTTTTTGAAATTTTTTAAAAATGCCGCTTTTATTGATATTAAGGCCCTAAAATTGACCTTATCTATTATAACCCCTATTTTCTTCCCTCAACTTTCGGTCGACACGCTGCTTTTAGGCAACACCACATCCCAACTTTTTTACTTGTTTATTCCGCTATAAAACGAGTGCCCATCTGCGCCCCACAATGTCCTATAGTACATGCCCACCTTCTTTTGGAACATCTCTCATCTCACAAGGTGAGGATGTGATGTGTGGCATTGTGGGATGCAGATGTGAACTCTTATAAAACATAAAAAAGTGATAGGAATAATCGTATCCGATAATTGCAGTCACACATCTCTCATAAGAATAATTTACCTTTCTGATACTTTTCCATCAAAACAAATGGAGACTGAATCTACTCTTTACACCGGGCGCCTCACAGGCAGTTCACACGCATATCCTATCGTGCATTGGGAATATCTGCCGTATTTATTAGTTATTATTCATGAAAGATGTTCTCAATGTATGATGGATGTGCCTGTGAGGCGCCCATTTGTGAGAAACAGATCCCGTCACAATCAAATGAAATGTACAATTTGGATTTTGTTCCCACAAAACCTCGTACAGATTCCAATCCACACCTGCAATGGAGATCAAATCAGGGCCTCACAACGCATCCCTGCCGTGTATTGGAAACATCTCCAGATGATGATACCAGAAATGATGATGTCATCATCTGGAGATATTGACAATGCACAGCGGGGATGTGTTGTGAGACGTTGTGGGGGCAATTTGGTAGGGGCTGATTTGAACTTCCTGCAATGGGCTATGTAACCAAAAATCTTGGTTCCTTCCATTACCTGAGATCAAATCAGCCCCCCACAATGTCCCACAGCACATCCCTGCCGTATATTGGGAATATTTTCCAATGATAATACCAGAAATGATGATATCATCATTTTATTGGGAGATGTTCCCAATACACTGGGGATGTGCTATGAGACGTTGTGGGGGGCAACCTTGTGGGAGGCTGATTTGAACTCCCATTACCCATACTTTTATCTTGTCATTCATGGAATCATGGGAGACATTTCTGATGGAGATCAAATCAGGACCCCACAACGCATCCCCGTCATGTATTGGGAACATCTCCCGATGATGATACCAGAAATGATGATGTCATCATCAGGAGATATTAACAATACACAGCGGGGATGTGTTGTGAGACGTGGGGGCAATTTAGTAGGGGCTGATTTGAACTTCCTGCAATGGGCTATGTAACCAAAAATCTTGGTTCCCTCCATTACCTGAGATCAAATCAGCCCCCCACAACGTCTCACAACACATCCCTGTGTATATTAGGAATATCTCCCAATGATAATACCAGAAATGATGATATCATCATTATATCGGGAGATGTTCCCAATACACAGTGGGGATGTGCTATGAGACGTTGTGAGGGGCAATTACCCATACTTTTATGTTGTCATTCATGGAATAATGGGAGACATTTCTGATGGATCATAATTTTAAAACGCATTCACATGTTTCAGCTCATACGTATCATATCAATGAGCCACCAATACATGAAATACAAGGAGTTTCAGGGTAAGACTTCTTACCCTCTTTCAAGGGGTAGTTAGGACTTATACAGATCCCCTAAACCTAAAAGCTAAATAAATAAATAAATGCATGTGATGTTGTTTGGTTTGAAGGAAAAGGTAGGGAAGCACATATAACGTTTGTATAGGTGTTCCTACTTTTCCCTTCCTTTTTTACCTTTTGCTTCAAATCAAGCACAGCCTTATAGTCCAATATGCCATGTCTGATGTATCAAACTATATCAATACTTCAAACCTTGTTCTTAGATATGGAAATTTGACCCATCCTTGCTCCCACCCCAGTCAATGCAGATTTTTTTACCATTAATCAGGATTCAGGGCAGGTTACAGGGAAACCCAAAACCCTAGGGACCAGGGACAGGGCAGGGCAAATTCGAGGATCTCCATTCCCCACAAGGATGGAGATGGGGTTAGGATTTTAGCCCCAGTGGGGTTCAAGGGCGAGGACAGGGTGGGGTATTTGAGTTTAAAGTCAAGGACGAGGCATATAAAACCCATCCCCACCCCACTCCATTGCTATTCCTACTTGTTTTGACAATGAGCTTTAGTTCCCAATTAATAGCATGTTAGCAAGGTTTTGCAAACCATAGACCTAAACTCTTCACTACCACACAAATCCATTTATTTTGGTGCCTTCTCCTCCAATGCCACTACCTCTATTTGCACCACAATGTGTCTTTCTCTTCCAAAGGAGATGTAAATGAGATCAATAATTTCCTTATTGTCTCCACATGAATCCCATTATTTTTTGCCACCATTACTTGGCTGATCAATATGTCAAAAGCCTTAATACTATTACAACGCATTAGGCCAATAACATAATCTCTACAACTGTAACAACCACAAATCTATTTAACGAGCAAGAGGTGAGTGAAGCAAAAAGTAAACATTTGAATAAATGGTGTGTCTGAGTGTGTAGCATCTTTAATAAGTTCTATTGTGCTTTATTAGGATAAAAGCTAGATTGCTACATATAATCAAGTGGAAGCTCTGTTGAGTGGCTGTCTGTGCTTCAATGTAAAACTACACTATCATTATCATCTCTAGATAAAGAAGATCTAAGAAAATCAAGCATTAGGGTTGTTCATGAATTTAAAGGCTTTGGAGCTATTGAAGTTTGACATGCTTCTATGTGAAACTACACTGTCATCATCCTCTCTAGATAAAGAAGATCCAAGAAAATCAAGACTTAGGGTTGTTCATGAATCTAAAGGCTTTGGAACTGTTGATGTTTGACCGGCTTCTACAACTCAACAAGGAGTCAAAAAGTCTACATTAAGTTGTATTTATTTGTTTTTATGTACAATTTTAGAATCTTGATGTAAATCGGTTGTATGATACACCTTATAAATGCTCAATAAGGCTGAACTTCGTCATCCTTAGAAACCATAATCCTATTGAAGTTCAATTTGCTACTAGCCTACTAGAATTCAATAAGACTGAATTTAAGTCATCCTTAAAAATCATAATCCAAGACAATCAAGCATCAAGGCTGTTCATGAACTTAAAGGCTTTGGAGTTGTTGAGGTTTGATATGCTACTACAACTCAATAAGGAGTCAACAAGTCTACATCAATTTATATTTATTTATTTTTATCTTTTCAGAATCTTGATCTAAATCAGTTGTATGATGCACCTGATAGATGCCTAATAAGACTAAACATGGCTTTCTTGAGCTTAATCATATCATAAAAGTCAAGAAAATACGTAATGAAAGCCAATGGAAATGTTTCCAAACCTCTAGGCAAAATGTGCCATAGTTTCTAAGTGTTTGGGTTATCTATCAGGCAAATTAGACCTGACTATCAAAAATAATCGACTATCTAGATTCATGTGTCGACTAATTTTTATAGCCAATGTATGCAAAATGTAGAGTCTAAAATGATGTTTCCACTACTCAATAAACATGTGTTGACTACTTAGGTTGACTAAGTTCACAACCTTACTAGTCGATTGATAAAGAGAAACCAATCGAACCAATCGACTGAGGGAGAAAAAGATTCTTCCCTTCATGTTGCAATCAACTATCAGAATAGTGCAATCATTTACCATGAAGAAACTTAATTGTTTCAAGGCTCCAACGATT